TACCTTGAGCCACAAATATCTTGGCAACAAATATTAACTTTAAATATTGCCCACAGGGGCACCTGGGTGGCTCAATCGGTTAAGCATCTGACTCTTGATCTCAGCTGAGGTCTTGATCTCAGGGTCCTGGGTTCAAGCTCCACTTTGGGAGCCCAGCATGGAGCCCACTTAAGAAATTAAAAAATAAAATGAAGTAAAAATAAATATTGCCCACAGTCCTGGATGGTTTCCCAAGAACACTGGAAGCTCCCAGGTACAGGCTGAATAGCCCTTGGAAAAGGTGAATTTGGCTGTATATTGGGCTCTTTCCTGAGTTCACTCAGACATTTCTGAAGTCTTCAGCCCAGACCCAAAGGGTACCATTTATCAAGCCACTACAACAGTTACAGCTTCTGAAGACATCATTTAAACAAGGATTCGTTTGGGCACTGCAAGAATCAAGCTTTTTGGAGTTTAGAATCTGACAAGAAGCCACCAAGCTACTGACAGATAAGTCTTGTGGGCATTTATCTGATGATTTTTTTAAAAATAGGCCGCTCGATTAATTAAAATCATCACTTGAAATCTTTCTGTAAGAGAGCAAGGCCTTCTGAAAACATTGCTTTTGGTTTCTCTACCTCAAAGTCGTCAGTACTTAAAAAGAAACGTAGAAAAAATAAAAGGCAGTTTCATTTAATGGCATTGTAGGGCCAGGCAGCTTCCAGCCTGGGTGACCGCTGAAGCTCTCCCACACAGTGAGATTGGAGGGAGAAGCGCCCGGGGTGGGAGAAGTATGCCTGCCGGTGGCAGTAAGGAGGCTGTAAGCTTCAGAGACATTCCAGGGTTCTAATAATGAAATACACTGACGTGTCATTTCATCATCGCGAGCTGAGGGTACAAGGGAAAGAGGGAAGGAAGCTCGGGCTTGGAGCCCTGCTGTGGAATGCTGAGTCTGTCCCAGCAGAGCCTGCCCCTCGCCGGCTGGATGTAGGTTCCCTGCCTCCTACCATCCCTAGCCTCTGCCAGCACAGAGCTGCACCTTTTCCCAGGCCCCTAATTGCAATCATCAGGGAGCTCTAGGCCCACAAGCCACAGAGTTATCGGAGAGAAAAGTTCCTATATTTGCTGCTTTTCGGCAATTGTGACCAATGGCAAAGTCATTACATTTCTGACTTCTGGGTTCCTGTGCTCGGTGCCTGTTAGGATGCTCAGGAAATGCCGAGGAAAATGTGATCAATACTTCCTCTGTCATCTTTATTGATCAGCTATGGCTATGACTGGCCTGTGAGGAAAGGTGAGCCCCTGCAAAATTGCTTCTCACCATGGTTCACTCAAGAGTGAGGCAAGAGATCTGGAATATGAGAAAAACATAAAAACCTTCACTGCAACAGTAAAACCCAAAAGAAACGCACAAAAGACGCTCTGCAAACACTCTTTCTCACTATTATTTCAACACCAGCTTGCTTGCCAATTTTCTGGGATTCTAAAATGTAAATAGATAGATAGATATAGTTAATCTGGGTCTCTTTTCATTAAATGCTTAATCACTTAGCTCATTTCCATAAATTGGCATGAATTCAGTCTCCACTTCTTTTTTTTCCTGAACCACTTTTTAGGAGAGTAATCTAAAGTCCCTAAGAGTGATCAAGTCAGTGTTTTCTCATGAGACAGGGACAAATACACAGCCCACAAGATACATTTGGGTGGTTTAAAATTTTGAACCTAGATTATCTAGATCTATCTTTTCTTATTTCAAAACAACCTTCACAAAGGTTGTTTGCTATGTTTTATAATGATTAACAATGACTCATTTTACTCTAACCCACTTACAGATTTTCTATCTTACTGATATATTCATCTTTTCCCTTTATACGTACTTTATTATGGTAAAAATCTGAATTTACAGTGAACTAAGAAGCCATCTGCCTTTAAGAATGCATAATAATACTGAAATATCAGCCCCAAAATTACCCACCAACATGGACAACTACAATTTTGTTTATAGCATTTGCAAAGTGAGTCTGTCTTTCTTCAAGTCCTGTTCCTCTATTGTTGGGGACAAATGTGACTTGTACTTGAAAGCCTTATTTTAAATTGTTTACAGTGTATTTTGTTAAGTGAAGTAAATTAAATTTCACATACGCCCATTATATTTCTCATCTGTGACCTTTCGTAAGAGTACGAAGTTAAGAAGGGCTTTTAAACATTCTAAACAACTCAGATTATTCAAGATACCACAAATTTTACATTTGAGATTTCACTAAATTGACTGAATGTTTTCACTTCTGATTTTTTGGATGATATGATTTTTCTGGAGAATTCCTTAATTTAAATGAATAACTTCAAGAATATGGTAACCGAGAAAAGAAAAAGAAGAGAAAAAGTTTTTCTTTTTTTTTATTTCTAAAAACTTCCACAGTAACTAGAATACATGTGCTGGAATCTCTAATAAAGACCCAAGAAGAAGAAAGTAGAAACATTTAAAACTGGGAATTCTCGGGCAGCCCCGGTGGCTCAGCGGTTTACTGCCACCTTTGGCCCAGGGTGTGATCCTGGAGACCCGGGATCGAGTCCTGTGTCAGGTTCCCTGCGTGGAGCCTGCTTCTCCCTCTGCCTCTCTCTCTCTCTGTCTCTCGTGAATAAATAAATAAAATCTTTTTTTAAAAAATGGGGATTCTCTTTAATTGTAAGAAAGAAATATGGGGAGAAAAGTAAATTTAAAGATGAAGTTTCCATGTCAGTGATTAATTTTTCTCATTCACATGTCAGTCTCTCCCTTTCCTTACAGACAAGGCCCTCTCCATTTCAAAGGCATCGTCCAGAGCTATTTTCTCACCATGAGAGGACTACCAAACTCTCCAAGAGAAACTGAAAAGACTTTCAAAGGCAAAGGGAGTGAAAGGCACATTCTCCAGCACTTTTAATCACTGTAATTCAGTCACTCTATATAAGCTTCCAGCCTGCTGTTCTCTTCCCTAGTGTTCCGTAAAAAACAATTTGTTAACCTGCCAAGCAAACATATCAGGCAGTGAAAAAAAACAAAACAAAACAAAACAAAACAAAAACTAGAGAGACCAATTTGGGAGAGAAAATTGATTAACATTTTGCCAACTCCAAGCAAAACATTTTTTAAAAAGCAACCAAATGCTGAGGGCAGAGGAAAGCATGCCCCAGGCAAACGAACGTGTAGAGCACCGAATCTAAGGGAGAGGATTCCTCCTTAGAGGAGAAACCGGTGAAACTTGCAAAGCCTCCAGCACCATGGTATCCAGTGATTTCCCAAGAAATAATTTCAGAATGGAGGGAGGGTGGAAAACTTTCCCAGCCCTCAAGCCCTAAGCGGTACAACCAAGTCCCGCCACTAGGTGGCGGTTGCAAAGGCTGCAAACAGGGGGCTGTTTTCTTCGCTTTCCCTCCCGGACGCACAGCCCAGTCCAGGGGAGAGCCCACTAGTCCCCACCTCGATCCAGCTCGCTAAAATGCAAGGTTAGGTCAAAAGAAAACAAACAAACAAACAAACAAACAAACTCAGGCCTTAGAAACCTGAAGTTCCCAAGTAACAGCCACTCCTACAAGTCTGTTCACACCAGAGCTGAGCAATGGGGGGGGGGGGGGGAGACACATGGTCGAACCTGCATATTTTAAACTCTGCTGGGGTTTGCAAAGCAAACCTTCCAGGCAGCTGCTTTAGGGCGACAAGTGACGACGAAATTACGCCGCGAACGCTGGGTCGAGTTACTGGGCTGTGCATCACCCACCCACCCGCACAGCCTGTACAGAGCCACAAGGTGATGGAACTGGCTGGGTAAACATGAATCGTTTCATTGCTAGCCAGAAATTCTTCCTTCATTCATCAAAGTGAGTGAATGAAAATATTAAGTAGGTAAAGCATTTTCGTGGACTGCTCCCTGAGTATCCTTCTGAAGCCGAGACCTTACTTAGGCTGCCTTCTACCTTGGGTGTCAAATAAAGGGAAAAAAACCACTTCCCCTTTTTGTAAAACGGCTGCACGCCAGAGCTCAAATCTTGGCAAAAGAGATGTTACATAAATTCCAGGTGTTCCTAAATATGTATATTTACACGCAATCATTTTTGGGAAGCATCTAAGTTTCCGGGCTACTTTTTTTTTCTTTCTTTCTCTCTCTCTCTCTCTCTCTCTCTCTATCTATCTATCTCAAGAAAGAGTCAAAATGTGTGTTTACAGCTTTGACTTAGGCTCCTACCCACTTCGTTTTGACGATATTTCCTGCCAGCGAAATGCAGGAAATCTAATAATTTGCACCCAAAACGCATCTAAGCACTCAGCACACTTACCTTTTTAACTGAACTCAGATCAGACAATTCAATTCCCATCACCAAAGCGGGGGGGGGGGGGGGTGGGGGACCCAACTCTGAAATTCTGAATTATTTTCTAGGTGATCCGTACAGCCATTCTCCGGTAATTCTACGAAGAGGCTAATTCCTTAACATCTTACTTTGCCTTTAAAAGGCTTCCTTCCACACGACGGGATTTCCCTAAGAAACATTCCCAGCGGATGGTTTCCAGCAATAGCCTATATCAACTCAGCCTGCGCAAGCAAAGACTTGGCTTCTGCTAATTCCAACCCCCCCCCCCACACACACACACTCACTCACTCGCCCCAACACACACACCAGTTCACAGTCCCAGAACCATCCCGGGCCGGCTCGAAAAGCTATTTTGCTTGCATGTTTGCCCGTCTCTTCCTGAATGAATGCTTTTCCAACTGACCTTTCCACAGCTGCCGAGATGGCACGGTCTGTAAGGTTAGAGCCGGAAACTAAGGGAGGTCGTAGCATCCGAATCCCTGCAACCTCTACGTCTCTCCTTCTCTGCCCAAGTCCAGATTCTCGCAGCCCGAGGCCAGGGACCCCGAAGCGTCCGCCGGGCAGCTGCGCGAGGGGTCCTGCTGGCGACCAGCTCCCCGCGGGCATCCCGCACGCGCACGGCCCCAGCCCGCCCGCGGCGAGCGCGCCAGCCGCGCACCAGCCCTGCCTCTTACCTTCCCTGGCTTTCAGCAAGACCGTGTTGGCCACGATGTTTTCCAGCTCCATTGACAGTCGGCGGTCAGCGAGGGAGCCTGCCGGCGGGGCTGTCAGCTGCTGGGGGTGCTGCCGCTGCTGCTGCCGCTGCTCGGGCTGCTCGGGCTGCTCGGGCTGCCGCTGCTGCCGCCGGAGCCGGAGCCGGAGCCGGAGCCGGAGCCGGAGCCGGAGCCGGGAGCGAGCAGCCCGCCTTGCCTACCGCATTATTCTTGCTCTTATCCCTCGGAGTTTCCCCCTCTGCAAAGAGGAGCCGCCGCCGCCGCTTCTTCCTCCCTCTGTGTCCCCCCTCCCCCCTCCCTCAACACTCTCCCCCCCACCCCCCACCCTCCGCGTTTCTCTGTCACTCCATTCTCCACCCCTCCGGCTCCCTCGGATGCTTTAATGCCTCGGATGCTTCTGCCTCCCCTCCGTCCCTCCCGGGGGTGTGGTACTAGCGGGCTCGGGTGGTCGCACTGCGCAGGCGCCGCGAGGGCCGCGCCTCCTGCCTCGGCGCTCGTGGCGCGGGGCCTGCTGGGACTTGTAGTCCCGCGGGCGCGCTGCGCTGGAGCCGGAGTGGCGCTCGGCTGCGGGAGTCGGAAACCTGCCCCGGGACCGGCACCGCGACTGGAGGCGGGTGCGGCCCGGGGAGGCTAGGGGCGCCGGGCTGCGGGGAGCAGCGGCCCCGCCGAGCCGGAGCCCCCCGTCGCGAGGCCGGGATCCCTCTGGCCCGTTTCCCGCCTTGCCGACCGCGGGGAAAGCGAAGTCCGCAGGCCACGGCGGCGGCGGCGGCGGCGGCGGCGGCGGCGGCGGCGGGCGAAGCGCCGCGTTCCCGCAGGAGCCGGTGCGGGTCCTGCGCCCCCGGGCCGGGCTGTGCTGGGAGGAAAGTCGGCCTGGCGGGCCACGCACGCTGAGGCCGGCCGGTGTGCGCCGCCTCACACGCACACACGCGCCGGGACGCTGACAAAGGTGCACTTTGTTTCCTCCGAGGGCGCGAAGGGGTCTGCGAGTCGGCGGCGACCCGGCGCGGGCGGCCGCGTTGGTGGCCGCGCGGCCCGAGCGCCCCCTGGCGGCCGAGGCGTGGCGGCGCGGCGGCGGGTCCACGCGGACCGCGCCCCCCGCGGCTCGGGACCGCCCCCGCGCGCCTGGCGGGCCTCCGGGGCCGCGGGCGTGGGAAGCGGCTCGCTGTGCTAAGGCGGTGCCCTCCGGCAAGCGGGGCCCGCACCTTCACAACCCTCCTTGCGGTCAGACTTTCCGATTTCCGAGAGCGCACGCGGAATCGCCCGAGTCAGCAGGGGGGAGCGGTAACGAGGGACCGCGCCGAGCCCGTGTTGGAAAGACGTTTGCCAATTCCGGGTTTATTGATCTAGGGGCTCCGAGCGCCCTCCCGCGGTGTGCTCTGAGCCCCAGACCTCAGGTCTACTCTCTGCCTCTCTTCCTGGCTTCCCTCGAAGGCCCCAGGCTTGGGCCCCGGGCCCTGGGTGCCCCGGGGTCCGCGAGCCCCGCAGGCTGGGGGAGGGGCGCCTGGCCCCAAGGCACAATGAGGCCTTCGCCTCCTCTGCGTCCTGCGGCCGGGACATCCGCTCCCAAGCCGGCGCTGGGCCCGCTCGCTCGGCCGAAAAGGAGGAAACCTTCTGTCCCCAGGGCTGCCAGGAAGTGGCAGGGAGGTGCCGGCAGAGACGAAGAACAATTACTACACGTTGGAGAACAGACAGAAATCCATAGACTTCCCAAGCCCTGCAAACCAGGACGGTCGCAGATTTTAACAGCACAGAATGGTCTTGTTCCTGATGCCGTATACCTACCACCCCCACCACTTCCCGGGGTGTGGATTTGGGTCAGTGGGTCTCCCCGGGCCTCACTTCTCTTGTCTGCACCGTGGGGGCAACCACAGGTCGCCTGCCAGAAGGCAGGGAGCTGAGCAGATGACTTTTTAGGAAACTTCCCCTCTAGGAATCATTGTCCTAAGCAACGCAGGCTTAGTCTTGGCTGTATATCCACGTGCCCGGAGCCCCAACTTATAATGATAGGGTATTTCTGAAAGAATCCCAGAGCTCACCAACTACAATGGCCACTGGCCGCTAACTGGTGGCCTAAGGCCTGTTGCAGCCCAAAGTTTCTGTGGCCGAAGCAATGCAAAACCAACTAAAGTTGAATGCCTTTAGATGGTATGTGCTCCACAGCAGCCTTCTCGAACTTATACGCACACAGATCACCTAGGGATCTTGTTAAAACGCGGATTCTGTTTCACTGCTACGTCGGTCCTGAGATTCTGCTGTTTCTAACAAACACCAAGGTTCTATCAATCCTGCTGGTCAGTGGACCACACTTTCAGTAGCAAAGGTCTACAGTTAACCACAGCCCCCCACCATTCTGTTATCTTATACCCAGCCCGAATCCTCAGTGATTGCCTCATTTTACCTAACTGGCCTCTATAGATAGACATTTGAGTTTGCAGCTCTGAAAAGCCCCGCTTGTCCCCCCTCATTTAACAGATGTGAAACAGACCCAGATAGAATGAGTGGGTTCTGCATGGTCATTTAGCAAGTGAAAGCCTAGCTACTTACTTTCTCTGCTATGTGGTAATACATCCTGCCTGCAAAATAAATGGTTGTACTTTAAGTATCTGCTCCTCTGCGAGGAAATTAGGACATTCCAATGAGAGGATGGAATGATAATGGCTAGATTTACTGGATCCGACTCTGGGCCAGGTCCTATGCTAAGTGCTTTACATGGAGTATTTCATTGAACACAACATCCGGATGAGGTAGAGAACATAGCCCTGTTTTATAGATAAAGTCACCAGGTTAGGAGAAGTTTTATAAATTGCCTAAGGTCGCAGAACGAAGAAGTAGAAGACGTGGGATTTGAACCTAGCAGTCTGACTCAGAGTCTATGCACTTAATTTCTGGCTAGCTCAGGCTAGCCAGCAGAACTTGGCTGCAATTATCCTGTTTGGCTGCCAGAGTGAAGTTAAATTGTATTGTAAGAAAGCAAAGCAGGCAGTTGGCTAAGTGATTAAGACTTAAGGGGGTTTTCCATTGCATCATTATAGCTTCCTATAATTCCACCATTATAGCCCCATTCCTTTCAATTAACTGCATTAACAACTGCAGTCCTCTAGAGAAATGGGTTTGATTCAAGAAAGAGCATGCTATTAAATATCAATAGGTAAGAATCTTGCCAGCTGAAAGCAAGAATACAAATCCAAATGGAAAAGCCAGTGAGTTTGAGAGAGATAGGAATATGTCAAATACTAACTTCCGGATCCACTCAAGATCAGCTGAACTGGAAATGCAAAAGAACCAGGGAGTCTTACTCTTCTGTTGCTGCTTGGTCACAGTTCTTGTAACTAGAAATCAACTATTCAGGAAAGTCACAAACTTATCTTTGTCCAGAAAATATAGATTGCTTTTGCCTAAATAATCAAACTGGCCTTCTGAATAGTACTGAATCTGGAGTTTTCAATCCTTCCCTGGTCTCACAGCTTTCTAATCATCAGGAAACAGCTGGAGAACGGTCTTTCATTCTCCTGTTTATTCTTTGCTTCTCCAGAGTTTACCGTTATGCGCCAACGCACTGTAGGGAATACAACGGCGATTTCCCAGGAGAACCTGCCACTGGGAAGGAAAGCAAACTGGAAGACTACCGAGATAAAAGGGAGTAAGAATCATCTTGGGCTCATACACAAGGACTCTGGAAACAGAGAGGAAGAATGGTTTCAGGCACCAAGGAAGATTCCCAGAGAGGAGAAATGAGCACTGACAGTGGGATTGGAAGTATGTAGTTGCCAGTTACACTCCCTCCTGAGAAGTCCCTTCATCCATGTTCTCCCAAATTTGACATTAAAAATTTTGCCAAGCTCTTGACCACTGATCATTCTTCTGTTTACTTAATATTTTTCTTTAAAGTCAAGTCAAAAAAAAAAAAAAGATGGTTATTCATCCTAATCAGTAATATTTTTGAAATGAGGGTAGGAGTGGAAATATCACAATTTGGAAACAAGTGATCTCCAAGCAACACCTGAGCAGCTGGTTCACGATGAACCACCTAATCATCATAAATCTGCTGGGAGGCCTCACCCTCGTGTTGTCAGATGATTATGACCTTGAGACATCTAAACACCCACCTATTGGGTTCTGATGCAAGTTCAGAAAAGAGGTTCTTGATAATACAAACAAATCTCCTGGTGGTCCCAGCCACACATGGTCTCTGTGCTCCCGGCACTATAGCAGTTTAACAGGGTCTTCTTTAGGGAAAGGCTCCCTTCTTGGTGCCATGTTCTGTTAGGAACTCTCCACAGTAGGCCAATTGGTGCCTTGAATAGATAGAAAGTTGTTGCCTCCATTGTATGTAGAGGAAACTGGGCCTCAGAGAACTAGGTCTGTTGTCCCAGGTCAACTGGTAAGTGAGCCAGTTTTTTAGGTGTCTGCCTTCCCTACTTGAAGGCCTGAAATGAGTCTATGTCATCTTTCAATTCCCATCCCTATAGAACCTAGTAAGTGCCTTACACCTAGTGAGCATCGGGCAATATTTACTGGCTTGGAGCAAATATGGCATGACCTGGCCCCACCAAAGTCTCTGGGGTACTGGTTATCTCATTCCAGTTAAGTATCAAAATCCCCACATCCCTGCAAGATCAGAGATTAAAAGGGAAAAGGAGGAGACTCCCCTCCTTGTATCAGAGGTCAGCATCACAGAAAGTCACTGGCAATCTCCATCCCTGGAACCTCCAAGCCCATCTGACTGTACCTCCATCCTCAAATCCAGTTGTCTTCTGCAATCAGCCCAGTTGTTAAACCAATCGCACAATTTTTAAAAAACACTAAGCAGACCAATTTTCATTCACTTTTCAGACGGAGTAAAACACAAGATATTCACTCCAAAAATGGCGCACAGAAAGGTGGACATTTTTTTTATTTGGTTCAGTGCTGAGCACTCAGATTTAAATGGAGGAAAAAATTTTAAATTGGTAAGGAAATTACACAGCAAAAGTATAAAAATTCATAGTGGGAGGAGGAAAAACAGCCTCCTTTCTAGTAATCTACTTAAAAGCCAATGATTTTCTGTTAATGCAGACAAGAAAAGAATCCAAACCATCATTAAAAAAAAAAAAAAAAAAAAAACCACTTCTGGTCTTTTTATGACTACCATCTATCAGGCAAAGACATGACCAAAGCCAAGTTCATTTGTTTGAGCACAGAAGCCTACAGTGGAACTGTGGATACAATCATGATGACAGAGATAGAATTGCTTCTTAAAGAGGAGGAGGAAGTAAGATGAATGC